CGGGACCCGGTGCAGCAGCAGTGTCCTGGGCGAGCTGGAGGCAGCCGAACCTGAAACGGCCACACGGCCTTACGTTGGATCCTCCCCTGCAGTTTTTCTCACTTAATTCCCCCTGAAACCCTATGACATAAGTAGCATTCATTTTATAGAAGAGGCAGCTGCGGCCCCGACCTGGTCAGAGCTAGTAAATGGCCTGTGAGGAAGTCACTTCTGGCCAGAGTGCATAAGGAGGGTTTCACAAAGATGTTTTCCACGCCAGATTGCCAAGAATTGGGTAGAAGTAAGGGTTTTTCACTGGAGAAAGAGGATTGTTTCATGTACCTCATTTTACCCATTTTGTGCCCTCGGTTCTCGTGTGTTAACCACATATTTCTCTACAGCTCCTCTCCTCCACAAGGCCTACCATGGAGGCCACTTAACCATCCGTCTTGCCCTGGGTGGTTGTACCAACCGGCCTTTCTACCGCATTGTGGCTGCTCACAACAAGTATCCCAGGGATGGCCGTTTCGTGGAGCAGCTAGGCTCCTATGATCCACTGCCCAACACTCATGGAGAGAAACTCGTTGCTCTCAACCTGGACCGGATCCGGCATTGGATCGGCTGTGGGGCCCACCTCTCTAAACCTGTGGAAAAGCTACTGGGTAACTTGATTCTAGCCTAAGTTAGGGATTTTAAATTGAAATCGATTATAGGATGATGAGAATTAAGAATGATTTTCATTACCTGTAGGCTGCTCAGGACTTGAGTGAGAGGTGAAGTTGTGATCTAATTGCCATTTGGAAACTGGTGACCTTTTGTGGACTCATTTGGGTGACCAGGATTTTATGCTAAAAATGGGAATAGTGTGTTTTGAATGGCTGTCAGTTTATCTTTTTTTAAGTAAGGAAAATAGTGTTAGGAATTTGATAACATCTATTGTCTCATGCAGTAAGGAGTTGGTGGAAGAGGTGAGGTGGATTGGTGAGGAGCATGTTTTAAATCATTCTCTAGGTCAGGTGTCTGTTAGACCTCAGTTCTGTGAGGCTGCGCTCCCGGGGAAACATTGGCTTGTACTGTGTCGTAATGAATGAAAATCCTGTTGCTTTTAGGTCTTTCTGGTTTTTTCCCTCTGCATCCCATGATGATCACAAATGCTGAAAGGCTGCGACGGAAACGGGCACGTGAAATCCTCTTAGCATCTCAGAAAACAGATACAGAGGCTACAGAAACAGAAGCAAGCTGACTTCAGTGAGCATAGCAGCAAGAACAAGGTCAAAGTCCTCTCAAAACACTTGTGTAGAGTTCTTTTGTTAGATTTAGAGGTCAATAAATGGAGTTTTCCATGTCACCCTTGTTCTTCTGGCTTGGCCTGAGCAGTGCCCAGGGAGAGATTTGTTCTTGTGTGACAGAGCTACTAATTAGCCTTTTCAGCCTTCATCTGGGGAAACACAGTGGTTGTGGACTTTTGGGTTGGGCCCTGGGTCTCTTAGACAACTTTACAGTCCGCTGCCTTCCAAAACTTCCTTGTTTCAAAGTCCCCAACCACCATGTCCATGACCCACCCAAGTAATTCCTTCCTTAATGATTTATGGTCACCCTACAAGTTCAAGAACACAGTTATTTTTCTTACTGGTTTTGTAATTGCAGATTTATATTGTCTTAACATAATCTTAAATTTACAAAGGCAGATTTGTTAGGAGCCTTTAGGCTGTAAGTCTTTTTCTTTTTTCTTTTTTAATATATCTTTATTGATCTCAGAGAGGAAAGGAGAGGGAGAGAGAGAGATAGAAACATCAATGATGAGAGAATCATTGATTGGCTGCCTCCTGCACACCTCCGACTGGGGATCGACCTGCAACCCCGTTCCTGTCCCCTGACCAGGAATCCAACCCGATCGCCTGGATTCTAGGTCGACTCTCAACCGCTGAGCCATGACCGGCCAGGCGTGTAATAGTCTACTTTGAAGAATGAGAAATGAGCCCTGGCCTGTTTTGCTCAGTGGTTAGAGCATCAGCCTGTGGACTGAAGGGTCCCAGGTTTGATTCCAGCCAAGGGCATGTACCTCTTTTGCAGGCTTGATCCCCGGGCATGGTTGGAGCATGTGAGAGAGGCAACCAATTGATGTGTCTCACATCGATGTTTCTCTGTCTTTCTCTCCCTCTCTCCCACTCTGAAAAGCAATGGAAAAAAGTATCCTCAGGTAAGGATTAAAAAAAAGAGAGAAACTGGGTAAAACTAATATTGTAAAGTACCTACATACATTCTAGGCCCTTTACATGCAAGGTTATTTGTAAGGTATCAAGAAAGTAGGTAGGATTATCTCCATTTCATAGATGGGTAGGCTGAGGTTCAGAGGTGGAAACTTGCGAAGGCCACAGTTTAATATTGGCAGAACAAAGACTTAGACTGCCATGTGCCTACTTGGAGAGCCCCCTCCCCCCTTTTTTAAATATGTCTTCATTTTTAGAGAGAGAGGAAAGGAGAGGGAGAGAGAGAGAGAAACATCAATGCGACAGAAACATCAATCGCTGCCTCCTTTATGTCCTCAACTGGGGATCGAGCTCTCAACCTGTGCATGTGCCCTGACCAGGAATTAAACCATCAGCCTCCTGGTGCATGGGTCAACACTAAACTACTGAGTAACACCGCCCTGGCTGGAGAGCCCTTTCCAGTATGTATTGTTTGTAGCAGGCTGGGGTGGGGAATAAGCAACAAAAAGGGGCTTTTCAACTGTCTACTTAAACAGTCAGTGATAGAATCAGGTTTAGGGATCATGAGTTTGGTACTATAAATGACTGGCTGTGCCAAAAACCCCTACAAAATATTACATTATCTGTTCTACCCTAACCTTAGGATTCTACAACCACAAGCATGGGTTAGATGGTTTTAGTGCATACACTGGATAATGAAGATAAGACTAGGATATAGTAGACTTACAGAGGATATTCTAAAGCCCTAAGAATATACCAACTAATGTTATCCTCTGGATTTTATATTTTGAGAACAATTAACAGCCACTTCAAATTGTGGGGCCATCAAGTCTCCCCAAGATTGTTACTGTCTGGCCGCCACTTGCTTTGAGGAGGAGATGTGGAAGGCAGGGCTAGCAAGAGGAACTGACTTTTTCTGGGTTTGGTCTTGGATATGGAAAAGAGAAATGCTTTGAAAATGATAGGAACTCTGGAAGTTTAAAAGATACCCTGGAGAGTTTGATGGGAGAAGCTTTAATTGGTAGTGCAGGAGAGAATGTGATTTTGAAAAGTATTAATCAGTACTGTGAAATGGGTTAAAGTAAGGTATTTTTTTGAGCTACCTAGTTTCAGCCAACTCTTGTATCCACTTTGTGCCCTTGTCTGTCCTTTATCTAAGACCTGTACACACATATTTCCTGTGTGAGCCCATCTCCCTGATTTCCAAAGTTTTCTCTGGCCCTAGCCAGTTTGGCTCGGTGGTTGTATCGTCGGCCTACAGACTGAAGGGCCCTGGGTTCGATTTCGGCCAAGGGCATGTACCTCTGTTGCAGGCTCCATCGTGGGCCCTGGTTGGGATGCGTTCTGGAGCCAACCAATCGATGTGTGTCTCTCATATTGATGTTTCTCTCTCATATTGATGTTCCTCTCTCTCTCCTTTTCACTCTGTCTGAAAAGCAATGGAAAATTATCCCCGGGTGAGGATTTAAAAAAAAAATCATCTTTGCACTTTAAAAAGCATTAAAAAGGAAAAAAAGCAAAGGGCTTTGCTTCAGCAGATTATATTTTTATTATAAAGTTTTGGGTCATGTATCGCCACCAAAGTGGAATGTGATTCAGGAGCTGGAGGGTGAGTGGGAATGATTCTGTAATGTCAAATCTATAAGCCCTATCAGATAAAGAAATTTTTTAAGACGTATATTTTGTGTTTTTTGTTTAATGTAGACTTTTTTCTTGCAGGGCTCAGGGGAAGTACCTACCCAGCAGTCCCACCCTGTAGGCTGCAAAATTGTTTGGGCCTTAAAGCACTATGTACTCTTGTCAGGATCGTCTTTGAGAAAGAACAAACCTATTTATTGTTCTTTGGGAGGAAAAACATGTATATGAACCATGTTATATTGCCAAGTGCCGATGTTATGCTGTTTTTTGCAAAAAAAAACCCACAAACAGCGTATAGGTTTAACCTAACACGGCCTTCCACGTATTATGGGAAAAGATTCCGCAGCGGGACCTTGGGGAGAAGATTGGCGCGGGATTTGTAGAGTCGGGAGGGCCGGCGGCTCTCGGGCTACTTCCGCTTCCTCCGAGGAAGGTGGTGCCTGCCGGCCGTAGGAGAAATCCGTCGCGCCTGCTCTACTCCGCTCGGCGCTCCTCTTTGCAGGCCTTTCCTCGCACATTTTGCGGCAGCCGTAAAGTGCGGTGCCTTGGCCACGCCCCTTTCGCGCCTCTTGTGACGGCGGCGCTGAGCTTTTTGCGCGGGAAAAGGCAGCAGTTCGGAACTGTAGCCGGCGTTCCCCGGACCCACTGTTTTCGTGGGGCGGCCGCCGCCCGCGCACCTCTGCCAGCCATGGGGCTGCTGGAGCAGTGCGAGGAAGTGTTCGGCACCGCCGACCTTTACCGGGTGCTGGGTGTGCGGCGCGAGGCCTCGGACGGCGAGGTCCGACGCGGCTACCACAAGGTGTCCCTGCAAGTGCACCCGGACCGGGTGGGTGAGGACGACAAGGAGGATGCCACCCGCCGCTTCCAGGTACGCGAGTTCCTGCTCCGCCGCCCCCGGGCTTCTCGGGGTCTTCTGGCTAATTGGCCCCTCCGGGGTGGATTCCCCAGAACCCAGCCTGGCGTTTTCTAACCTGTTTCTCGCGGACCGGTCTCAGTGAGAGGGGCGAGGGTGACTTTTGGATGTCCTCTCCCCGCAGATCCTCGGGAAAGTCTATTCTGTTCTCAGTGACAAAGAGCAGAGAGCCGTGTACGACGAGCAGGGAACAGTGGACGAGGATTCCGATGTGCTCAGCCAAGATCGGGACTGGGAGACGTATTGGAGGTTACTCTTTAAAAAGGTAGAAAAAGACTCCGGAGATCGTACCCATTATTATTTCAGGACCATTCCCATTATTTTTTCAACAAACGATTATTGAATGCCACTGAGGCATTGTATTTTGTGTTGTGTAGGAAGGGGAAGCTGTCCTTGAAATTTACAAACGCACATCCAGGCATTCTTCAGGGTATATACATTGTATGTCTTTGAAGAACAACAAATGTATTTAACCCTTTAGGTTGAACCATGTGTATTTGTATATGTATATGTACACACCCTTACTGACATGTTTTTGTGGTTTTTTAAAATATATCTTTATTGATTTGGGGGGGGGGAGAGAAACATCAATGATGAGAGTCATTGATCCACTGCCTCCTGCACGCCCCCTGCTGGGGATGGAGCCCACAACCCCAGCATGTGCCCTGACCCGGAATCCATCTGTCATCTCCTGGATCCTAGGTCATGCTCAACCGCTGAGTCACACCCGGCTGTGCTGAAAATTACCTGTTGATGTAGAGTGCTTGTAGTGAAAAGGGAGGGACTTAGTTTTTTACAAGATGTGCTTTATTTTACATTTCCAAATGCAAGTCCGGAGTGTTTCTCTGGGTCTGTTCCCACCATTGGTAACTTCACTTTAATTTTCCTGGTCTATAGTTTAGTAGTTGTGAAGGTTCAACTAGGGAAAATTCTGGAAAAGCTCTGGCATAGAAAATTTGGTTCCTTGCAACAATTTCAACTCAAGCAACTGTTGTGTTTGGGGAGAAACATTTTAACACCTAAATTTAATTTTACTAGTATACCTTTTAAAATAAAATTTTTACAGTTAAAGCATGTTTCTTATTTGTTTAGATATCTCTAGAAGACATTCAAGCTTTTGAAAAGACATACAAAGGTTCTGAAGAAGAGCTGGCTGATATTAAACAGGCCTATCTGGACTTCCAAGGGGACATGGGTCAGATCATGGAGTCTGTGCTGTGCGTGCAATACACAGAGGAACCCAGAATAAGGAACATTATTCAACATGCAATTGATGCTGGAGAGGTCCCACCCTATAAGGCCTTTGTCAAAGAATCGAAGCAAAAGATGAATGCTAGGAAAAGGAGGGTAAGACTTTGAGTGCTGTTTATTATTTATATCTTGACTGCTTCCAAAAATAATTTAAGGGTATTTACAGTAATGGAACTATAGACAAAATCACTGCATAAGGGTAAGGATTAACTTACTATGGAGTTCTCGTCTAATAAAATGAGCATACCAGTTCCTCACGGGAAACTTGTTTCCCCTAGTATGTTGTGCTCAAGATTTTAACTAAGTGGCTTATTTAAATAATCTTAAAGTAACACTGAAACATTCTTTATATGGGCCGATTCTTGTAGCTTTGCTGAGGCATTTCTCAGTAATGGAGTCTAGATACATAGGATAGACAGTGGTTCTTACTTGGTTATAAGGGGTGAGGGAGAGGGCAACAGAGGCTTTTTGTTTTTTAAAAGGAAAAAAAAAAATACTGTGTCTTGTTAATGCAGATTCCTTGGCTCTTGCCCAGATTGATATATTGAGTTGGGCCCAGAATATACATTTTTCAAACAAACTATTTATTTTGATGGTGTCTTTCCAAACACACTTTTTGGAGAATCAGGGTTTGAGACCTGTATATCCTTTACACCCATATTAAACTGTGGAGTTGATGGGGATAGGGATGATGGTAGGGGAAAGGAGCTTAAGGACAGCTGGCTGGGGTTCTGGGAGGGAGTAGATTCAAAGTAGCAAACATCTGTGCCTCTGGTCTCTGGGGGAAAACCAGACTGGTACCTAAGTAACCATTGCCTCAACCTGGCTTTCATAATGGGAACTCTATGGAGAGCATACAGTGTAAGATTTTAGATCTTTGGTGAGTACCTGAGGTGGATATCTTATTTTGTATGGCTGGATCTGGAGTGAAGGTAGGTTTGCAGCTTCTAGATACAAGATAACACAAGGGAAAGCTGACATGTGTTGAGAGAAGTGGCATGTGTATCAAGAGCTATCATTTTGGCTCATAGGCTACATTTATTTAGACTCAAGCTTACAGTTTAAGTTGGTGATTATTTTCACAGCAGTATTCAGTAGTAGTATATTAGCTTGAGAAACTTCCGTAGAGTATTGCAGGGAGGGCTTGGTATAATTTTGAGAGAGACTCCAGCGAACTTGGGGAGGGGGATATAGCATTAAAGGAAATTGAATACAAAGACTGAAAGTAGACCATGGAAACGGTGTCTCTGTATTGGAATAACAAGATCCTAATGTATCATCATTCCCATTAGTATTTATTACTATTTAGAAAATTCACTGGAGTTGGGGCCTCTTAATAGTTTTAGTTGTTGCCCTAAAGGAAAAAAACCAACTTAATTAACTTTTCCCAAGGTATTCTAGTGATATTTTGGAATCAGTGCCCTAGGAAAATCTGGCAAAAAGATGTGGCTTTGAAATCAGGTCAAGAGGTTAAAATTGAATTTGTTAGTGGGTTTTTTAAAAATATATATTTTTTTTATTTATTTTTTAATATATCTTTATTGATTTCAGAGAGGAAAGGAGATGGAGAGAGAGAGATGGAAACATCAATGACGAGAGTCATTGATTGGCTGCAGCCCGCAACCCAGGCATGTCCCCTGACCGGGAATTGAACCCCGATCGCCTGAATCTTAGGTCCATGCTCAACCGCTGAGCCACACCCGGCTGGACTGAATTTGTTAGTGTTTACTCTGACTACTCGGGGAATTTTAAACCAGGGTTGTTTTCAAGGCTGCCACCAGTCACCTGTAGTAAACTGGGTTTCCAGAGGAGGAATCTGAGGTGCCTGTATCCTGGCAATATTTTTTAGGGCATCCTTGGTTAAGTGACCTTCCTTAGCTCTCCACTCATTTTGTTTTCCTTCCTGTCAACACATGGTTATTAATGGCAAACTGCATGCTACCCTTAACAAGTAGAAATGGAGAAAACTCAGAAATCCTTACTGGAATCAGAGGCTGTACCACTTGCTCTAAGCAATTTTGCCTTTTAACAAATGACATATTTATGTAATTTTATTCTAAATAATCGTCATATTGAAAGGTCTTATAGATTTGCTTTTGGCAAAGAAGGTATATTTTTAGGGTACCATGGAGTCTCATATAAGTTTCTGTTTTAGGCTCAGGAAGAGGCTAAAGAAGCAGAGAAGAGCAGGAAGGAGTTGGGACTCGATGGAGAAGATAACTTGAAAGCTCTCATTCAGGTAAACTTGGCAGGCTGTCTGTGAAGGTTGCTGCCATTTCTTTCATGTTCTGATTCCTACAGCTTATGTTTTCTTTGGAGTATATGTATAGTGTTATATTTTGTTTTTTTGTTTTAAGACATTCACATACCATATTCACCTTTTTAAAGTGTACAATTCAATGGTTTTTAGTATATTCATAAAGTTGTACAACTATCAGCACTATCTAATTCCAGAACATTTCATCACCCTAAAAAGAAACCCCTTACCCATTAGCAGTCACTCCCCATTCTCCTCACCACTAAGTACTTTTGTCTCTGGATAGTCTTGTGTTTTGAAAGCTTGTGTTTTAACTCTCAAACAGAGCAGACAAAAGGATCGGCAAAAGGAAATGGACAATTTCCTGGCTCAGATGGAAGCAAAGTACTGCAAATCTTCCAAACAAGGAGGGAAAAAAACAGCTGTCAAGAAAGAAAAGAAATAATGGAGTTTTCTCTTCAAAAGTCCTTAGGGGTTAATTGGTGTCATTGAAGGAAAGGTAGAGTCAAGATTTGAAGACCAAAGTCGGTTCAACCCTTGAGAAAAGTTGTCTTTTCCACCTAAATATTTAGATTGAGTATGTAAGCCAGAGTCTGTCAATCTGATCTTAGTATATCCTAGAAATCCCCTGACAGTCTGTGAAGTCCTCCTCTGAAGGAATTTGGTGGTGGTCATTGAGGGAGAGGCTGGTACACTTCTGACAGCACTTGCTTCCAGTAGGTCTTCTGTACAAGGAACTTTATCTAGAATGTGGGTCTGTCCATACTTCCTTCACCAGCAGTCATTTTGCCACACAAGAATGAGCTGCAGAGTATTCTGAGTGATGTGTGTGTTTATTAGAAGAGTTACTCTATCTAGCTAGGATGTCTTCAGAACACTTGCTGGACATCTGTCTTCCAAACACTTGACAATTTGCTTTCTGTCTTAATATTCTTGAATAGATTCTCTTTTTTGTTTGTTTGTTTTACTCAACCAGGTTTTGTACGCTTTGCTTTAAGTATAGGAGAAACAGGTGTTCACTTTATTACTTCAAGCATCTTTATAAGTCTTATACACGATTAAACTAAACAATTAAAAATGACTTAAGTTTTTAATGATCACTGGGATATTACTGCTGAACGTCCTTGGGCACGTCACTGAGCTTGTCTGAACGTGTTTTCTCATCTATGAAAGGGTGAAGGAGTTTGGGTAAATGACTTCTTAGAGGCTCCTCTCTTGAAAGGCAAGCCATCAGTGGTTTGTTTTCATGCACTTGTGGTATTGATTTGTGAGACTAGTGCAGAGATTTTCCCGTATAGTTAGTCAAATTGTATGTATTCGTTAGAATATATGGAAGTTTTTTAGGGACCGTTCAACTTAAAATCTCTGACTTGTAGACTAATATATTCAGTGCCATATGCGTGAAACAAGCCTTCTATTACCTTTATGTATCATGATTTATCAGAGATGAGCATATGACATGTTTTCAGTTTGATTATAAACAGGTTAAAAAATACTCTTTAATTGTATTAAAATATAATTTAATGCAGGTTGTTTGAAGCATCTTTCTTCATATAATAGCTTTAGAACACTTTGATATAATAAAAAAATTATCCCAACTTATGATCACTTGAATTTTTCCAACTCTGAAAATTAACAATAAGATAAAAAACCAGTATGATCATCAAAATTAAAGTTCAAAGAAATTTAAATAAAGTAAATTTAAGCCATAGTTAAAACCATTGCTGCATTCATGAGTACATTCAAGAAAAGGTCCATGGTAAAATCAGAAAAATCTGAAGTTCTCTACTTCTGCTATTAGGATATGTTCATACTGGAATAATCGCCAGGTGTCTGGAATTTTAGGGAATTGTATCTTGCTGGCTTACTAATAGTAAGATTCTATAAATTTTTAATTGACTTTTAGAGCTGCAGAGAAAATCTGGCAAGTTGAGTTTAATATTTGGGGGGAAAAATATGACCACTAAAGTACTTTAAGAAGAAGCATAACCTGATAATCAAGCAGGCATTGTGAGATTGTAGCTCAGATATTATTTCCTATCTGAAAATAATATGCGTTATGATTTATTACATGTTACTTTACACCAGTGTTCAACATTTTTGTCTTTACTTACCTCCTTCCATATTTATCTGCCTATGGGACTGGACATGTAAAGAGCTTTAGGAATGACATCTGTTTGATGAGTAGCTCAGATTTTTGACAGCCCTGTCTCCTAAAAATGACTTAAACCTGAGTACAACTCTCCAGAAATTAATATAAGCAGAAGTATTCCAGTGCCAGTGACAACTTAATGTTATCAGTCATTTGCTGCTTTTTGTGTATGTATAGTCTCAGAATCCTATAATAATTGAACTGTTCGTTGTTAACAGACAACATGAGCAGTGATTTGGGAATGGTTATTCTTTTGTTACATCTTTGGGTACAAACTTGACTGTCTAGTGCAATAGTTTAACTTAATGCTGAAAGAAGACAGTAACTAGAGATAGAAACAGTACCCATGTAATCTTTGGCGGATACTGTTGTTTTCTCAGTCAGTTTTACGAGAATAACTCTTCATGAAGATAGTTTCAAGTTGTCTCTTGTAAACAAACTCTGCATCACACAATGAGTGAACACTGATTTATGAAGTCTTCCCACATGTTCCCTGTAGCCAGAAGCAGGTTCTTTTCATTTGCTCTATGGTCCCTGCCTGGTTCTGGAGACTGGTCCACCTCTGTTTTGAGATTTTGTAGACCCATGTGATTGAGTACCTGTCAGACAAAGAAGACATCAGAGTAACATTAGTAGACATTCCAGATTTGATAAACTTATTCATATCCAAGGGCTTTTTTGCTTCAATAATCAGTTGAGCTTTAAATTTGGAGATTGGGAACAAGTAGGAAAGCATATATTTATCAAAGCTATAGAAACCTTGCATATTTTATGGAAAAACAAAAATCTGTACTAAGATATGAAAGCAATAACAGTTTTAGAGAAGAGCCCACTAATTGAAAAAGACTAAAATGTGTTTCACTTAACTAAATGTTACACTAGTTACACCTGACCATCAACATATAATAACTTAGCTCAGAGGCAGGATTGCTTTTCTATGAAGACTGATCCAAGAAAATAATCCATTGAAAGCATTCAAAGACTACCTTACTGCCACTAGGAACTGAACTAAGAGAATTCACTTGGACTACAGAGATCATTTGAGGCAGATTATTTTTTAATGTACTAGCTGATTAATCTTAACAGCAAACATATCAACTCCCCCATTTCTAAGTTTCACCTACAACATAATGAGAATGACCTGATGGTGGTAAGACGACCATTATAGGAAGAATTAACACATTCTTAAATTTTCCTTCACGCATGTGAAAATAGAAGCTATAGAATATAACTTAGAAACCAAAAAGTAAATGGGAAAGAATCAGACTTGGCATATCTTGAAATTTTAGAATTCCTTTCGTCTTACCTTGCCCTAGCCAGGTTAACTGACCAAAACAGTTTAATCTATAGCAATATGGACTTTGCTTATGTAATAACATTGCAGTGTTTGAATGTTATGAAAATGATTTATTCGGCTGAATTTTTTTTAGATTAAAAAGAAAAGTACTGTTTACTTTGCCAGAGTGGTGAGAGGTTAATTTACATATGAGAAAACAGAAATCCGTAACTTTTTGGCTCTGAACAATAGAGGTCTTCTCTATCTTTTTATTATATCCCATCTTCCAAAATGAATTTGAGGTGACTTACAAAGATGTAGGAAAACAAAATACAATAAAATCCAGAGGGAAGGAAAATAAGCATAGAAAAAAATATATAAGACAAAGGCAGGGTCTTAACATAGCCACACAGTAGCAGAATAACAGTCATGGCCCCACCTGTCCCTGCAGATCCCCTACCAGGTCGGGCCTGATGTGGGTACTCAACAGCGCATGAATGACGATACTGCGTGTCTGGCTGAAAAAGAAAGGAGACACTTCTTACAATGCTTTGTCTCCCAAAGGATAATACATTAGTAGATTTATAAGGGAAAACCTTGAAATTGGACAACAATGTAAATGGAATTATCTGCTAATCTGAGGGACAGATTGGCTGAATGCACTGTTATATTCCAAGGAAAGAATCCCAGGCTAGATGCCCACAAAGCCATTTGTAAAAATGGCAATTTCTACAACTTTATTAATATGCCTTTAAGAAAATCTCAGCATTGATAATCCATATGGTTTAATGTTTCTAAATATAACTGACCGCCAAGGGGATTTTATCTAATTTCTATTGCCTGCTGACTGTTTAAGACAACAAAACAGCCTTTTCAGCAGCATTGAAACATCTATGACTTTACTTCTATATTTGAAATAGGACTCAATATGAAACCCAAACATTGCAAAATTACCTCTAGGTATTTAAAGATTTGAAGATCTAAAATGTCAAAGTGCAAAATATCGAAAAAAGAGCTATCCTTGCCATCTCCCTGGCACTTCTGGGATAAAAAAAACCTCCTTCAGTTCCATGTCAGAGCACTAAAATCGGGGTTTCAGGAATTTTTTTCTGGTGAAGCCCCATTTTTTGATCAGGGGTCAATGCAAACTTCTTAATTTGTAGAGGGCCAGATAGTAAATGTTCTAGACTTTGTGGTACACACTGCTGGTGCTGGACCTACTGAATTCTGCAGCTGTAATGGGAAAGCAGCCAGAGACAGTACATGAATGAGCATGGTGGCTCTGCCCTAATAAAACTTAAAAACAACACAAAAACAGGTAGTAAGCCAAACAGCTCATAAACCGTAGTATACGGACTCCCGTTCTAGCTGAGAACACCGAGGAGCAGAGCGCTGGTCTGGCAGTGCCAGGCCCAGGACTCAGATCTATGCACCTGGGGCCTGTGAATATGGCTTTATTTGGAAATAGTATCTATGCAGATATAATTAAGTTAAGGTGAGGTCATACTGGATTAGGGTGGGCCCCAAGTTCAGTGGGAAGTTTGGAAGAAGGCCATGTGAAGACAGGCAGAAATCAGAGTGAAGCACCTGCAAGCCGAGGAACACCAAGGATTGCTGGCAACCACCAGAAGCTAGGAAGGGGCAAGAAAAGATTCTTCCTTAGAGTCTGCAGAGGGAACGTGACTCTGCTGACACCTTCATTTTGGACTTTCACGCTCTGGAACAGAATTTCTGTTGGTTTAAGCCACCCAGTTTGTGACAATTTTTAGGGCAGCCCTAGGAAACTAATACCGTGTCCACCATTCACTTATTCTCATTCTAGTGGAGGAAAGATTGTATAGTGCTTTAGGCTCTAACAGTTCAACGGTTATGAATTGGGATAAGTGGGCTGCAGACAGCACCATCCTGAAAACTGGTATAGGTTGTGTAGCCACTGGTTCCTGGGCACTGAGTATGGCTCCGGGCTCAACAAGCCTTGCCACAAAGCTGAGGTGGGGCTGAGCTCCTGGCATACAATTGGGCGAGGTCAGTACATTTCCTCCAATCTCCCAACCAGGTTTTTTCTATTACTTGCTTAAAAGTAAAGGGGCTAGTAAATATATGAAATGCTGAGGCAATGTTAGCATCTGAAACAACTTAAAAAGTCCTAACTTGCCCATTCACCGGTCTACTTTATTATCTGCTATCACTATTGGTATAATTCCATGAGAGCATTAGAGAATGAAGTTATGCTGATATGTACTGGGGCTTAACGATTTGTTTTGCTTATTCTCAGAAGTTTCTAAACTTTAATTTGTTTAGAATTTGTAATTTATATATAAGGCGTTTGTGTATGTTACATGCTGCTGAATTGGCTCTGACACCTGCTGACCCTGTGAATGACTGATGTCCACAGTGTCCTGTCCTCAGCAGCCCTGCTCAGGTCCTGTGGACTCATGCCTATGGTTTCTGTTATGAAGTCAAACAGGAGTCACCCCATGTTTGGTTTTCCCCTCATTTTTATTTTTCCAGCTTTACTGTCTTTTCCAAAGAACCCTGCCTTCTCATGATGTGCCTGAAGTAGGAGCGTCAGTTTTGTCATTTTGGCCCCCAGTGATACTTCAGGCTTCATTTGCATTTTACCTTATTCCACAAGTTAAAAGAATGAGTGGCAAAGAGCAGTTAGAATTTCAACAAAATGTACTTAACACTTTTTATTGTTAGAACCTCAACTTTTATGCTTAAAGTTGATGGAAACACTATGTAAAGTCTTAAGTCAGCCAAACTAGTTTTTCCTTTCCCCAACTATCAAGACCATAGAGGAAATGTGTCACTACCAAAAATGACTGGGTTGTGTTGGGCCTGGAGAAAAAGTCAGGTAAAAGAAGCCTCTCCTGGGGCTGCTGATGTTTAGGTTCATTCACCACCGCACTTCGAGCTCGATTCAAATCACCATGGGTTTTCTGTGGAGAAGGCAAAATTACAGAAACAATTAAAACAATTTGTTGTGCATGTCCTACATCAACCCTACCAAGTATGGTAACTGCAGGCCAAGCACCTCCAATTCCATTGTCATTAGGTAAAATTCCGTATGTACTTTTGAAAAATACAGTACAAATTAAGATCAGAATACAGGTCCTACAGAATTACTGCCCACAGGAAGCACATGGAAAGGCAGTAAAGAGGAGAGGGACATACCGGTTGTCTTTGTGGCCCCACAGTGCTCAGGTGTTCCACTTCAGCTGTGCCAATAGGTGGCAGCAGATTATTTCGACTCAGGGGCATTGGTGAGGGAGAAGAGAGCGAGTTGGCCACCAGTGGTCTGCAGATCCCACCAGTGAACACCAAGACATGAAAGCATAAAGTTAGAACAATATAAGCAAACTGATCAGAGTCAAATAAATGAAACTTGGGGTTAATGTCATGCACAGAAAGCTTTAAGCTGTTTTAGTTTTTAAGTAAAGGTATCTCAATGAAAGGATTTTGGGGGTTTTTTATAGTATTTTATGAATTTTGTTGAAACATCCTGGACATGCAGCAGAAGCTGGAATAAAACAGCTTTGCCTGTCTGGTGTGGCACTTCTGTACCAATAATGGGTTTATAATTTCCCATCTGATGGGGTTTTGGGCCTATCTGATTGTTCTTGTCACTAATAACTGTAATCCCCAGTAAAGGTCCTAAACTTTTCTTCCATGGGATTTGGAGCGTTTTGCTGTACTACTCATACCCAAGACAGTAAGTGAAACTGAATGAGGCTTTCTTGTCCCAGAAAAAACAAAGCAATTTCTTTTTCCATTCTGAAGCAAAGCACTGTCAGAGGGAGGAGAGACTGATTATACAAGACCACTCATTCCTAAATGAATCTAGAGCTGGCTCATACAGACACAGCCTCCGCAACATACTAGTGAGCAGGTGAGGTGTGACCGTGGGTCCTGACAAAGACTTTTGGTAGTTTTGGACATTTCTTTTAGTGAGTCTATTGGAGTAAATTATAACGAGAAATTGAAAAATAAAAGTCAAGAAGTAGCATGTTGGGGGGGAAGTATAGTGACATGCACTTAATTTAGAAGCTGAATTCAAGAGTTACGGCCTTACTATCTCGTACCTTTGAGCACAATCAATCATCCTAAGATGTTTTGTGAATTAACTAAAGAATTTTATTTTAAAAGTTGGCTTATAGGTATTTTTTGTACAATGAGGCTCAGAGCGTCTAGTGAATGAAGGGTGGGAAGTGGGAAGAGAATATGTCTGGTGTTATTTCCTAATTAATGCTAAGGGGTACTTTTCCTGGAATATAAGCTATAAGCAACTACTTCTCTGAGATTTATGAAGTTTTCATTGTCATTGGAATAAGCAGTTCCCAAGGGCACAGAAAAGCATGAAAGAAGAATTAACTTATTTTACAATTCAAATTTAAACTCATTTTTTTCTGTAGTGGATGAACTTAAACCAGTGTGCAACCCATAAGAACACATAATTAGTTTCTCTGCATATATTTCAATATTATACTTGAAGAATTCTTCATTAGTTTTACCACAGTTCCCAGAAATTCTGCTTTTAAACCTACACTCGGGATCCTCGGAGGATTTCTTCCACAGTTCTTGGTGTTCCAGCATGTGAATGGCTTGTGCTGATGGGGTGAAGGGTACGAGGCGGGGGATTGCGTCTCCTGGCGGACTGCACTGTATATGACAGAGATGATGCACAAAGCTCTAGGGCTCGATTTGACCAATTTCGGGTTGAAAGGGTGGTACTGGACCCAGGCCTCATAAGTAGCTTGTCATCGAGATCTCTAGTGGCCAAATCAGAAACCCGCAGTGAAATCAAGATTGCTTTGTACAGGGAGCAAACGGATAAAATACAGACTATAAATACGACTCAACGGATAAAAAATAGACTATAAAATACATTCAAGGGGTTAAAATGCAAAAGTAAACACTGTTCAATAAGTTACCTAGTTTCTAGAAGTTACATAATCTAGCTCAGGCAAGGGAATATGTTCTTAAAGGGAGGACATGATGCCTTGGTCGGCGTGGCTCGGTTGGTTGGGCACTGTCCCATGCACCAAGAGGTTGCCAGTTTGGTTCCCCATCGGGGCACATGCCCAGATTGCTGCCTCGATCCCTGGTAGGGGGCGTGCAGGAGGCAGCCAAGCATTGTTTTGCTTTCACATTAATGTTTCTCTCCCTCTCCCTTCCTCTCTCTCTAAAATCAATAAAAAATCTTTAAAAAAAGGACATGATTTTAGTCATACATACAATTCAGTAGAATGGAGATTTGGGAAATGAAGTCCTTTATTCACCTGCCATCACAGGCACTCCCTTCAGTTACCAGCAAAGGCTATTCTGAAGAGTACCTACTATGAAGTACTTCCCAAAAGTTTATCTCAGGGACTGAGATTCCTATGGCATGTGAGGCATTCTTTTGTGCTGAAATAATGTCACCAGAAAGACAGTTGAAAAGCAAATATTGCTGCTTGGGAGAAGTGTGGCTCCCACTAGAGATTAAACTGCTAAGCTATTGGAGCTTGCTGCGGTAGAGGTTTGGGTTCCTTGGAAATCAGGGAGCAGGCAAAAGGTCCAGAGCCTTGTGCTGCCAAGGGCAGTTAGGACCACAGTAGATCATTTGCATAAGCAACTGTGAAATAGACACTTTGATGTTAGTACTCGGTTAAATAAAATACCTTGTCCAAATGGTTCAGTAGCTTAAACTCTGCCCTGCAGATTCAGGGATTTTTTTTTTGTGTTTTAAGCAGATGAGAGGATGTTTGGTTCTATTGTAAGGCACCTAAGAAGCAGCATTTGCACAGTGAAATGAAGGGAAAGTGAAACAGTAAAACTCTGCCATGTGCTCTTTGGCTTTCAGCAAATTCCTCAACCTTTCAGGCCACATTGGTGTCCTCTAGTGCAAAATCAGCCTCCGTGTTTGGAGGACTTTGAAGGGAAAGCACCATCAAGGAACAGGGCTCAGCCTTGAGCATTACAAGAGATCTTTCTGGTCGTCTTACTTACCTAACCATTCACTTAGGCATTTTCTTTACAAACCCTGCTTTCAAACAGATGGATTCAATTATCACCTCTATCCAAGTGACTTTAGATCAACTGCCAAATCTGGCCTCTTCCACATTTCCCCCAAGATGTAAACTCAGCACATCCCAGACCAACTCATCTTCCCAAACAAGCTTCCCTTGAGTTTGAAATCTCAGAGTTGAATGTGATTCCTCTATTTTTATAGAACTTGATTTCTTTTACAATATCTCCTAATACATTTCATTCCTTTCTCATCCTTTGCTACAACTAAAGTGCAGACCGTTAAAAGCTCATGCTTGAATTCCTTCATTAGATTCCTTACCTTCAGTTCCTACCATTCTAATCCAATGTATGTTCTGCTGTGAAATCTTTCAAATCCCTGACTTAAATATATGTGCTCCCCAGTTGAAACTCATACATTGCTGGTAGGAGTTTAAAGTTGTATAATTACTTTGGAAAACTGTATGGCAGTTTCACTTCTAGATACTGACCCAAGAAAAATGAGAACATAGGTCCACAAAAAGACCTGTGCAAGAATGGTTATAATGTTTTCATGCATAACAACCCCAACTTGGAAACAGCCCAAGTGTTCATTAACAGAAGAATGGATGAACAAATTGTATGTTCTTAGACTAGAATACTGCTTGGCAATAAGGAGAAGGTAACGTGCACCATGGGTGGATCTCAAAAACATAGCATTCAATACCCCCCATAGTTTGGTCTCAACCTTCATTAATTTCAGAGTCTCTTCCTTCCCACTAATCATACCACGGTCTACTTTAATTCTAGAAGATTGTCAATAATCTTAGGTTAGAAGCATTAAAGTTCTGACCTATCTCCTATCCTATAGCAAAAATGGTCCTTCTAAATATTTTATATTTTACCGTCTCACAGTCTTTCCCACACACTTTCTCATACCTAGAATAACCTTACTGCTTTTCACTGCTTATCCAAATTTCCATTTTTCAAGGAGGAGTTCAAAATCTGCTTACCCACCAACTCGCCTTCCTTCCTTGGGACTGCCATGGCAATCACTCGTGGTGCCACACCCTTGGCACTCGGTCACAAAATGCCCTGTCTGGCTAGGTCTCTTTCTGTGTGTCTTCTCTCTCCAGTTATATTACTAGCTCCTTGGGGATGAAGACCTTTTCTCTTAAATGTTTTTATTCCAAAGATGTCTGACTGCTTGATAGCTACGCAATACATACAAGTTGATTCACTTTCTTTTCATTTCTCAGTGATCTACCTAAACTCTATAGATGATTAGAACTGTGTACTTCTTACAGGAGCTTGTCCATTAGGGAGAGATTTCTTGGCTGTAGAGGCATCCCATGAACCAAGAGACCGTTCACATTTGGCTGATGACCACTTGCTGCTTGACAGAGACTCATCTACATGTTAAAAGAAGATGTTACTCATTATTAGTTGGTGAAGATACCTGCTTAGTTTTCCAACTTTGCCAAAAGTTATTTCCAAATTAGGTCACATATATATTTTTCTCCTATGTCTTAACTTGTGTAATATCTTGGCCAACAGTCCAGCTTGGGGCCCCAAATTCACTGTCAAGATGACAAGGTCATAGTACTTTCTTTTCCTAAATGACAGCAGGTGGGGAAAGTCTGAACAACCTAGATGAAAGCACTTACCAGCCACTGTTAGAGGGGAGAGAGGATCTTTATTATTGTTGTTATTACGTTAGGAAAGAAAACACAAATATGGAACAACAACAAAAGGGTGCAACTTTCTCCAGGGATCATGCCCATCCCTTTCCCCACCCCCTTCCCCCAGGTGTGTTTTCCTTGCCTCTCTCTTTTTCCTAAGTTCTAAGGGCCCTTCTTTTGCCTCTGTAACTTGTTTCCTGAGCCCATTTCTTCTACAGCTCACTTCTACCTTCATGACTTTCTAAATAAACTTTCTCTCATATTTTGAATCTTGGCTCTGAATTCTTTCTTAGCCAGAACTCAACGGAGGTGGCTGAACCAAGGTCCGGTCTGACTCCACCAGTCTTACACATGGTGCCATTTTCGCCCCTAACACTTGTAATTATAGAATCCAAATAAATGGCTTAAAAGAAGAAGAAAAAAAATAAGGGTAAACACTAACATAATCTCTTTCACCATCACTCTACACAAACTAATCCTTTCTCCTCACTACCCAGGAGTAGTCACCTCTTGATGATAACCGAAATTCTGAAGACTATTTACTGGAAGGAGTTAATCCTATTGTTGTAATGTTAGCAGGATTTAATCTTACTTGCACTGACATCACTACCTCAGAGTCCTGTTTCTTTTCTCTCTCAGGTCATCAGTTTAGTCATCTCCTTTGCCATGCATTTTCCTCTTGCTTTCTCTCAAGAATGTTTGAATTAACACTTCTTCTTCCTTTTATCATTAACCAGAGCCATTGAAGTTAACTGGTCAGGGCTTAGGTTTCCTAAACCATAGCCAAATCAGTTCAACTTGTAGAAGTATTTTATTACCATCCAAGGAACATTAGTTCACCTGGTTCATCCTTTAATGTGATGAGGTATGAGCCTTGCTGATTTTATTTTTAAATAACACATTTATAAATCCAGCTGCACAATATCTGCTCAGTATACCAACAAAGGTGGTAAAATGCAGGATTGATGAGCATGGCACCCAAAGATTAGAGTCCATTTTCTCTTTTTTTTGCTCCCCACTACACCCCTCTACCTCCAACTCTTTTGCCACAAGTAACACTGGGAAACCATCATGTAGAAACTGGTTGTACATAATCATTACACAGGGATGAGGCCAGGCTCATTAGCAGGCTCATCAACCTGCAGGAAATGGCCATATTTATGCTTGTCCATAGACGTAATTGAGACCACTTCTCTCTGGTTTGCCTTTTAAACCCCAAAAACAAAAAAAAATCAACAGATTCAAATATTTAAAAAAACAACAAAAGCCAGGTAGGCAGCAACAAGAAAAAAAAACACACGAAGGAATTAAAAAGAAAGGACAGAATGTTAATCGTAAAAAATCTGAGGTTTGGTCCCACTTCTCATCATATCCTTCATTCTTCCCAGGACAGGTAGGCTGACCACATAGCTGATTCTAGACTGCACAGCTTATGTGTGCCTTTTCAAAAGAGCTGACTGAGAATAACTTAACCCTAATTTGCTTTTATTTTTTTACACTGAAATCAAATTTGTGAATACAGAGTCACTGGATTATAGTGATAAACATAATTTTACTGAAAGTAATTGAGTCATAAATAATACAGGGAAGGCAAAATAACTGAGCAAACTTCTGGCAAGAACAGTTCTAGGTTCTCCAGTATATTTCTCTGTGGGACTTACCGGATTTGAAGTGATGGACAGCACCTTTGACTGTGGCACTCGAGGTAAGACCAAAGGTTGTAGTTCACTCAGCACACAGGGGCTTTCTGAAGCCGATTTGGTGAATGCAACATTACTCTCATCATCTGAGCAAAGAAATAGAATGTTATCTACTTCCAGACCCACAGCAGCAGTACTGTGAAAAATAATCTTGCCTGAGAATTCAGTCTCAAGCTAGGCTTCACTCATCTTTGTAGCCCAATTTCATACTACCTGCGTGGTTCCAAAACACACACGCTCAAGCCAATTACATTTCCTTAATGACTAATGATGTTGAGCATCTTTCCATGTACTTATTGGTCATTTGTGTATCTTCTTTGGAGAAAGGTCTATTCAAGTTATTTTTTAAAATTGAGTTGTTTGCCCTTTAGTTGTTGAGTTGCAGTTCCTTTTTCTTTTTTAATTGATTTTGGAGAGAGGAAGAGAAGGAAAGGAGGAGGAGGGAGGGAGGAAGAGAGAGACATTGATGTGAAACATCGACTGGTTGCCTACCACACGCGCCCCTACCAGGGATCTAACGCGCGGCATGGTACATGCCCTGACCGGGAACCAACCCACCACCTTTCGGTGTACAGAATGATGCTCCAGCCGAGCCACATCGCCAGGGTCAACTGTAGTTCTTTATATATTGAGGCCACTAGATTTTTATGAGTTGTATGATTTGCACATATTTGCTCCCATTCTATAGGTGTTTTTCTCACTTTTTTGATAATGTGTTTGACAGAAAAAGTTTATTATTCTGATTAAATCCAATTTATCTACTTTTTTCTTTTGTCATTTGTGGGCTTGGTGTCATATCTAATAATCTACCACCAAACCAAACAATAAACTTGCAGATGCAAATAGCTCAACGAACTCCAAGCAGAAGTAGCATGAAGGAAATTATTTTAAGACACAAGCTCATGAAGATTTACTGTTTTCTAAGAGTTATATGGTTTTAGTTCTTAAATGTGTCTTTTCCATTTTTAGTTGGTATTTTGTATATGGTGTCAAGTAAGGATCCAGCTCCATCTCTTTTCCATGTGGCTATCCAGTTGTTCCTATACCATTTGTTGAAGAAACTATCCTTACCCCACTGAATGACCTTGGCACCCTTGTTGAAAATCAATTGGTCATAAATGTGTGGGTTTATTTCTGAACTTTTGATTGTATTCCATTGATCTATATGTCTTTCCTATGCCAGTATCACAGTTTCAATTACTGTAGCTTTGTATTAAGTTTTAAAGTCAGTAAGTATGAGTCCTCCAACTTTGTTCTTTTTCAATATCGTTTTGTATATTCAGGATAACTCGCATTTCCATATGAATCTCAGGGTCCACTTGTCCATTTCTGCAAAAAAGGCAGTTGGAATTTTGATAAGGGTTGTACTCAACCTATAGATCTATTTTGGGGGTATTGCCATCTTAACAATATTAAGTCTTTTAATCCATAAACACAGATGTCCTTCCATTTCTTTAGGTCTTCTCTAATTTCTTTTAATAATGTTTTGTAGTTTTCAGTGTACAAGTCTTGTGCTTCCTTCTTTAAGTTTATTCTGAAGTATTTTATTCTTTCTGATACTGATATAAATAAATGGTTTTCTTAATTTCATTTTCAGTTGTTCATTGATAGAGGATGGAAGAATTTTGAGCAGCATGATGGAGAAGGCATCAATTGCCTTGATCAGACTTAATGGAAATCTGGATTTGGAGGGGAGGGCTTGGAAGGAAATGGGGAGCATTTTATTAGAAAGTGGAAAAAGGGAGGTGCTTATTATTTGGTGGCAGGAAAGTTAGTGAAGTGGTCTCCTGTGGTCATGTGAAAAGCAGAACTTTTTAAAATATATATATTTTTATTGATTTCAGAGAGAGGAAGGGAGAAAGGGAAACATCAAAGATGAGAGGGAGTCATTGATCAGCTGCCTCCTGCACGTCTCCTACTGGAGATCGAGCTCACAACCAGGGCATGTGCCCTGACCATAATAGAACCGTGACCTCCTGGATCATAGGTCAGCACCCAACCACTGAGCCACACCGGCCAGGCTGAAAAGCAGAACTTTTAAGTGATGACCTTGGTTATACAGCTAAGGAGATTTCCAATCAAAGTGTTGAAGGTGAGGCCTGATTTTTTTCTTGCTGCTTATAATAAAACACATGAGAGAGAGAAATTGAGGGAAAAGTTATTAAACATAAGGAAACCAGGACCTGATGATTTTGGAAATTCTCAGTTTCTCTAAATGGCAAAAGATTCTGAATGAAAGAAGGCTGTCAAAACCCCAAGATTCTACTGGCAGGAAGCAGCCTGATAAAACTACATAATGCAAACATACTACCTTTCATGAAAAATGAAAGATGACTCAGAGGGTTAAACAAAGAGCCCAGGCAGTCAAGCAGAGCTGAGGATTATCTCCAAGCCTTGAAACTTAATGGAGGAACTCCCAATATTTTCCCAATTGGATTTCAGAATTGACGGCCCTGTTTCACTCTCTCCTCCCACCTCCACCTTTTAAACTGGCACATCTATAACTGTTATCCTTTCTCTGGCCCACTATCGTATGTTGGGTGTGGAGTCAAATAACTTGTCTCTAGGAATGGAATGGCCAGATTTTATAGTTAGATGTTTATATATCAGTGTATATAACCTGTAGTTTTATACGTCTATGGGTGGGATGGGAGTTGAAAGTATTTTGCACATGAATCATTGGGTGCCAGTGGGAGGATCATCGTGGACAGACTCGAAGGTGGCTCCCCTATGATGCTCACCTCTTGGTGTTCACATCTTCGTGTAATCCTCTCCCTTTGAATGTGGGCAGGACCTATGACTTTTTTCAGACCAGTAGGTGATGGTAAAAGTGATGGAATGTGACTCCCATGACTAAGATATATAAGCTCCTGTCTTGCTAGCAGACAAGTTCTCAGTCTTTCTTGCTAGTTTTGAAGAAGAAAGCTGCCATGACTACTGCAGCTACAAGAAACTGGATCCTTCCAAGAACATACAAAAGGGGACGTGGATCCTTTTCTCGTTGAGCCTCTACATGAGAACCCAGCCCTGGCCAACACCTTGATTGCAGCTCTTTGAGATCCCAAGTAGAGGACTAGCTAAGCCGTAACTGCACTTCTGACCCACAAACCTGTGAGAGAATAAATATGTGTTGTTTGAAGCTCCTAAGTTGGTGTTAATTTTTTGTGCAACATAGAAAACCAATACAAACAGTTCTTTAAGAGTTAAATATACATTTAACCATATAATCCACCTGTTCCACTCGTAGAAATTTACCCAAGAGAAAAGGAAATATATTTCCAAAAAATTCTTGCAAACCGGTGTTCATAACATCTTAACATGTTACAGTCCAAAGCTGAAAACAATCCAAATGATCATCAACTGATACATGGATTAAAAAAAAAACTACGGAACAATGGAATACTACTCAACAATAAAAGGAATAAATGATTGACACACACATGGACATGGATGAATCTCAAAATAATCATGTTGAGTGAAAGAAACTGATAAAATGCCATATGAAATTCTGCAAAACAAAAACTATAGTGACAGAAATAGATTAACTGTCACTTAGGGATGGTGGGTCGGGCAAGGTCATTTTGGGGGTGATGGAAATGTTAACTCTATTGGCTGTTTCATGGGTATATACATAGGTCAACTTATCAAATTATACACTTTAAATAGGTATGATTTGTTGTATATAAATTACTATTCAATAAAGCAGTTTAAAGATGTATTTTCCACTTGCACATGTTTTTTTCTTACAATTATATTCAAAGAGAAGCACAGCCTGGCTGGCATGGCTCAGCGGTTGAGCATCAACCTATTATCCAGGAGGTCATGGTTCGATTACGGTCAGGGAACATGGCCGGGTTGCGGGCTCAGTCCCCAGTCGGGGGGCGTGCAGGAGGCAGCCAATCAATGACTCTCATTGATGTTTCCATCTCTCCCTCTCCCTCCCTTCTTCTCTCTGAAATCAATAAAGACATATTTAAAAAAAAAAAAAAAAAAGGAGAAAGCACAATCTAGGCATCCTAGACTAGGCCTTGTTACTCCTCTACTCCTTCTTAAATATTTCTAAATATCTCTTAGTTTCTGTGGGAAATACAAATGTGAGTCTTACACTAATGAGGCATATACTCTAACAGACTGGTTAGGGCCTGGAAATCATAATTTTTATATTGTTTTCACAAAGAACCTTACCAGAAGCAAATCCCTCCCAGTGACTACGTGTCAACTGCTCCATACAGCTCAGGACCTTGCTCCACACGTCATCGAACACATAAGCAAGGACATCCTCTTTCATGCAGTAAAATGGAGCAATGGGAGGGTACCCTAATTTCTGTTTCTCTGTAGCTGCTTCTGATTTCTTTCCATGAAACCCCTCTTCCCTGTAACAGAAGCAAGATGGGAAGACTTCACAGTTATTCTTCATTGAATGCTCACCACTGTCCTGTGCTCCTTAGAAGTGTGATTTGTGCCCCATCCCCCTCCCCTTTGCCCGACACATGTAGCACATGCATTAAGCTGCCTTGTGAACTAAGGGAATTCTCAACAGAGGAGACTGCATTTCCCTTATTACCCCCATGCCACCCCACTACTTTGCCAAAAAATAGAACAAGAAAACTAAGAATCATTGTAATTTTTTAGCTTTGAACAGATGAGCATTGTCAATGAAATAAGCACACAGAAATAATCTTTTTTGTTGTAACTAGATAACATTTAGATTAATATTAATGTGAAACATTTAATGATGTGCATGTAACTGTGGTTATGCTGCATAATTATTTAAGGCAATGATTCATTAGAGAAACAGGCCACGAAGATTATGAAAATACTTTTACTAATCCAAATAAACACTTAGTAATTGCCTGGAGAGGAAAAAGAGGTAGCCCAAGGGCAAAAGAAGCTATTCTGAGCCTCTTCTGGAGACTGTATCTGTAACCCAGGAACTCCCAGGGAATCAAGTCTATCTCTTCTCTGGCAGGGAGTGCCAATAGCTCCACAATTTGGGGGACACGGGTGGGTGGGGGGACTAGCTGATAGATGTGCTTACTATGATAGATGTATTATAAACTAAGACAAAGCAAATTCTGGAACTGGCTTGGGGTAGGGAGAAATATCTCTCAGCTTCTATCTACAGTAACAGTTACCCCCAGGGCAGCAGAGGTCTTAAGAACTAAATAGGAAACTGTTGGCAGAAAGGATGCCAAGAGATTGTTTACACAGGGCAGCCAAAGACTCTTTGCGGAAGAGCTGGCCTGGCATTAAGTGCAGAAGGAAGGCTGATTAGTATCAGTTGTATTTAAATTTATATTTCTTTTTAGAAGAGAGCATATTCATACGATGAAATAATTTAAACTGTATAAATCTATGCATATAATGAAAAATAAGTCTACATCTCTGTCCGCCTATGTGCATTCGAAAAGTAAACAGGCTGGGCATGGCTCAGAGGTTGAGCATCAACCTACGATCCCGAAGATCCTGGTTCGATTCCCAGTCAGGGCACATGCCTGGGTTGAGGGCTCCATCCCCAGCAGGGGGCGTGCAGGAGGCAGCCCATCAATGACTCTCTTATCATTGATGTTTCTATCTCTCTCCCTCTTTCTCCTTTCCTCTCTCTCTGAAATCAATAAAAAAATAAAAGTAAAAGTAAACATTATCCATCCAGAGACGCTTACATTATACACTATACTGTAAGGGAGAAGATAATCTGACCCATGCCAGGGGAAATAAAGGAAAAGGGGCAATCAGTCTCTGGAAAACCAAAAGAACCTAATTATGACTCTTTTGCAACAAGGAGCCAGCTCAGTGGTGTTTTGTACAGAAATGAGTTATGTTTGGCTGCCCCTAGGATGTGTGCATTGAGCACATGAGTAAGCATGGCTCCGTATAAATACAATAGGAAGAAAAGTCCAGAATCATCTGACACAATATGACACAATATGAACTAGACCTAAGCAAACCCTCATAGCCTAAAATGAATCTCTCACTTCCAGATATGCTGCTGTGACTCTCAAAGGCCTAAAGGAACAGTTTAAGAGGCTGTTTCAGAAAGGGAGCGTGGAACAGTGGAGAGAACACAGGGCTACAATGGGGTAGGTTTTAGTTTAGCTTTACCTCAAACCATTTAACTACTCTGATTCACACCGATCGTGTAAAGAGGGTAAATAATATCTATGTCACAGGACTATTGTCAGCTGACAGTAAGAACAGATATAAATAAGCATTATTAATATACCACAATAAGAAAAGCTATCAATAAGCATTATTAATTATAAAGTCTGCTGAGTATAAGGTTTTTAAATAAACTGTATATACCTCTTTTCAAACGAGACTTATGTAAATGAAGTTCACACCTCTCCAACTGCTCTTTTTAAAAGTTTCAGTGATTCCATGAGTTACTGGTGATAATTTACAAAGGGTAAAATAAAATTACTTTAGGAACAATAGGGAGTGTGAAATAGGCGCGGAGTGAGGGCTTAAGAGACAGCATAAGAGACCGCATACGCACCCGTCCGTGAGGTCGAAGGCCAGGTACTCCTCCACCCGTCCTTCGCAGGCGATCACACAGCCCTCCCCGGCCGCCTCCCCGGCGAACCCGCCGGCATAAGGGGTGGAAAAGTGTAACTTCTTCCCCCTGACCCCGAATCTGGGAGAGGAAAAAGCAGAAGTTAGTTATGCACAGCATAAACAGTTCTCAGGGCAACTGGGTCACACCAGTTCCAGCTCGAACTCTTGCCCTGGGGACACCTTCCTGGGCTACTGTAAGCCTGAGTACTGTTAATTCTCAGAACAGGAAGAGTGCGCAGCGCTCAACACTGCTTGGTATCCTTTCAGGTGCAACAGCTGTGGCTATAAAATACCTTTTTTAAAAAAAATCTAAGAATATTTACATTCATAATTACATTTTTAAAGGCAGCTCAGGAGGATACGTGCTTATTTCAATAATTCCATCATTGTTCAAAATGCATGCTCCTTAAGGGCAGGGGTCTTCTCTTATTTATATTTAAATCTCTCTTCAAACCCAGTATTCATTGAATAGATGATGACATTCATTTCAACAAGTTTACAGTGGAGGAAGTCAGATATATCTGAACAATACAATTTTTTTTTTTTTTCTCAGCGAAGGTGAGCAAATACTTGAAGACCTGGCTCTCTAACGGCTTACAGAGGATAGGTTATATAGGGGAGTAAGCATTAATCACAGTGACTAAGGGAGCTGGTGGTCTCTACTGCTTGGTCGGTTCTAGGATAGGAGGTAGCTGATCATATGAGCAATACAATTTTTAAAAATTGCTCTTAGCTTAACTAAATATCAAATATAACCAATGTATGCTTTGTATTATTATTTATACTTTTTGGTACCTTAGGTATTTTTTAAGTGGGGGAAAAAGAATAAATCTATGATACTTTTCAGCAAGACTAGTGGTAAAATCTTCCTGGAAGACGTTTTGGAAATACTCATTAGAAGCCTTTAAATATACCCGTTAGTTCAGTGATTCCATTTGTAGAGATTTCCTTCAAGGATATGCCCTACAAGATTGAACTATAATAATGATCATCACAGAATTGTTTATAATTGTCAAAAATTAAAGCTAGCCCAACAGTTTCAAAATACAGGTTTGGGGATTAGTTGTTTACATAATGGTATATTAATGCAATATAAGGTCATAAGTTAATGTTGTGGGAGAAAATGGGAACTGCCCACAATAAAATGGTTAAATATAAAAAGATTACAAAATATGTACAGTAATTTCATAAAATTATATGCATACGTGGCAGAGAATGCTAGATGCCCCCAATATCCATTATTTCCTTCTTTTCTAGTAAATCCTGTCAGTTTAATTCAGGACAGCAACACCCACCTCAAAGGCTACATTTCCCACTACCACGCAGCCAGATGTAGCCACTAAGACGCGAACAGAATTGGTATGTGCGACTCTGGGAAGGCTGTCTCAGGAGAAACGGCTTGGCCCCTCTGCTGCCTGGACAGTGAATGCCGTGTTTGGAAGTCATCAGCCACCTTGGGCCATAAAGAGAACTTCAGGAAAAACACTCCCAGCTAGCGCGGTGTAACAGAAAGACAGAAGCAGTCTAGGACCCTGAAAACACCACGCCACCACTATACTATTTTTAGATACCCTTCCTCCAGACTTCTTTTAAAATAGCAATAAACTTCTCTGTTACATAAGCTACTAAATAAAATGTAGGGTTCATGGAAAGTGGTTGGAAAGGTCTGATGGCGCCACAGTGAAGTACTTTGTGTCTTAACTTGGGCTGACTGACAGCAATGAAAAATAAAGTTTTTGAGAAGGGGAGTGACACGATCCCTGCTTTAGGGATCACCGTGGTAGTGATGAAGACCGTAATGAAGTGAGGAGGCTGCTGAGCTGATGAAAACCTGGGCCAGGTCCAGCAGGAGGCATGGGGACGGAGAGCAAGTTTGCAGAACGAACACAGCTAAACCAGCTGGTGTTACTGTTTATGTAAGTCTCAGCTCTGAAATTCTAAAACAGTGATTCCCAAATTCCAGTCAACAGATTTATGCCAATCCATGATGAAATTTTTACAGGTCTACACCAAAATAAGGACAAATGAGCAATAAGACTACATGTCCTTTCCTGAAAAGGACTGTCCTTACTTTGAGATTATGTACTTCATGCTTTTTTTGTGTTGATATGTCTTTTCTTTTATAAAATCATGGTGTTAGTAATTTTTTTCTACCAAAACCCTATATACATCTATCTATAGATACAGGAACTTCCAACTTGGAATAAATGTGTAGATTGACTAAAGAAATTTAGGGGTCTAAGAAATAGACCTTAAAATTTTTTTGAAAAGTGATTTTGCTTAAACATGTAATATTAATCACAACTTAATCTCTTTATAGAAGTTAAAGTGCTTAGTTTTTTAGCTTAAATTGGGTAATTAGTATATATACTACTTTTTCCATATACATACACAGATGTTTATAGGTATAGATAATATATAGACCTACATAACAAAAATATCCTTAAACCCTAGGAAATGTCTTACTTTTTGAACAAAAAATATATATAACAAAATTCTAATTTGCACAAAGACTATGGTCGATCTTACAGAATTTTCTGTGCTTTATGTGCTTTATTAAATACCAAAAAGTAGGAAATATTTTAATTCTTTAACTGGTAGAATATAATACTTGGGCATTCGGATACATAAATACTTACATATTAGAATACTTACATAGTAGAATCTCTTTCTTGAGACAGTGTTGCCTCATGTGAAGCTGAAATAGCAGAAGGGGATCTCGGGTACAGTCTATAACCTTCACTTGGAGTGATTATCTGCTTACCCAAAATCCTTCAAAATGAACATAAAAAGACAATTAAGCACCTTTACCTGGCATGAATAAAAAAATGTAGATATTTTTTGGAACAAACAGATGGGCTCTACATAGAGATCCAGTCAGTATACACTTAGTTTGATTCTGATTAAGAATGATTCTTAAGAAAAAATGTGAATACAGACCCTTATTACAGATATCTCTCTCTCCTATAGAATAGACATGGAAGAGATAAAGCTATTATAGCAACCCCCCCAAAAAAAACAGGGAAACTGAGCAAACATTTGTAATTTTTCCCTCCAACTTCTATAATAATCTTCACGAAACCTATCAAAATGTATGATAGCCAGACCAAATTATTGAAAATCATGAATTATATTAAGAACATTAACCTTTATAAATTTAACTATATTTATTAAGTGCACTAATACAGTGTCTAAGGGCAGATTCCTAACAGCTTATATGTGCTTTCAACTATATATAAGAATTTACCTGTAGGTAAGAGTGTAAACAAATATATTTTCTGACCATCTTGTTCAAAAGAAGGGCTTTTGGACAGCCATAATACACAGATCTCAGCTACAGGTATAGAAATTGTTTTACTGGTTTAGGACGACATATTTATAGTTATGAAAACTCTGAGAAATTGCCATCAACTTGAGTGTTCTCTCAACTGAAGCTTTACACTGCACAGCCTTATTTATAGTCATCAAAACCACGCCCATGAAGATTCATTATACAAGCTTTCTTTGAAATCTGCTTTTCAAATTTTAGTATTTGCCATGAATACATTAACTTTAGGGCTTCAATACCTGAGGTGAGGAAAACTACATGTCCACTGTTGGCACTCTTCTTGTAGACTCTTAGTATGTACGCTCAACTTCTGCTCATACAAGAGCTCATCAATGGCTGTGAACATTGCCTGGACTTTTTCAGTGGCATTTTGATCAAGTTCCTAGAAGAAAATATCACCCCAAAATATTTAGGTGAACTTCAGTTTCTGTTAAAAATCATAAAAGTTGAGCCCTGGCCAGTGTAGTTCAGTGGTTAAAGCACTGGCCTGACCACCGAAGGGTCATCAAGGGCATGTACTTGGGTTGCATTTGATCCCTGCCCCTGGTTGGATGTGTGTGGGAGGCAACCAATCAATGTGCCTCTCTCACATCAATGTTTCTCTCTCTCTCTTCCTCCCTCCCTCCCTGCCTCTCTCTCTCGCTCTCCCACTCTCTCTTTGAAAAGCAATGGAAAAAAATATCCTCCGGTGAGGATTAAAAAGAAAAAATCATAAAGGTTGAAAGCAATCAGATTTTGTTTTGTTTTCAATATTTGGTCCATTTGAAACACTGCTGAATTTCCAAAAAGTTAGTGTTTTCAGATCTTAGAATATTCAGCTGTCTTCCCTATTTCTATTTAAAAACATACTTCACCTAAATATCTATTTATTTTTTATTTTTTCAATCCTCACCCGAGGATATTTTTTTAATTGCTTTTCAGAGAGTGGAAGGGGAAGGGAAGGGGCGAGGGGGGGGAAACATCCATGTGAGGGAGACACATCAACTGGACTGGTTGCTTCCCTAACTTACCCGACCCAACCTGGTCCAGGGATGGAGCCTGTAACGGAGGTATGTGCCCTTGCCTGGAATCAAATCCCTGGCCCTTCAGTCTTTAGGCCAACGCTCTAACCACTGAGCCAAACCGGCTAGGGCAATATCTACTTTTATAAAGTAACATTTTCTTCATAATAAAAATACTGTATTGTAATCAATTTGATATATTACATCTCTTATTTTTTCCTTAGCAGTTTGAAGATATAATATCATCTGGCACTTATTAATTGTGAGCAATCTATTGTCTGATTTTTACTCCATTATATGTAGTCTGTCTTTTCTAACAGCTTTTAACATTTTTTCTTTTTATCTTTGATTTTCAGCAGTTTCTCTGGAATATATCTGAGAGTGGTTTTTTAAAATTTTGTCCCTCACTTGAGATACATTTCAACATGAAGACTGTTGTCTTTCTTCAATTCTTAATCAGTGATTATTTCTTTGAATATTGCCTCATTCTCTCTTCCTAAAACTTCTGTTAGACATATATTGTAACATCTTAATCCACGTTCCATGTCTCCTTACTACTCTTCAAATTCTCAGTATCGTTAGCTCTTTAGTTGTAGGTGATTTTCTTAGTTCTATCATTCAGTTTACTACTGTTCTGTTCCATGTAGAGTCGGGGGAGAGGGAGTTCAGAGGGTGGAGCTATTTCTTTACATGGAGGTGAGTACTCCACCCAAGAAGGATGGTGTCTGCGGTATGGGAGAATGACTCTGCACAGGGATTTTAGTGGCTGTCCCTTCAGCTCTTTTCTCAGAGCCACAAACCCTAGACTCTCTTCATGTGACTCTAGTCCACCCTGCCCTCCCTCTGCTGGAGCCCAGGGTGAATGGCTGCAAATGAAATTTTGTGCATTGGCCCTTTAAGAGGGCACTTGTGTTTTCAGCGGACTCCCATCTCTTCCTGATGGACAGAAACCCCTCTGATTTTCACAGCCAGATGTTATGTGGTCATCTCTTCCTGGCTCAGGTGCTCTGGGCTTGGGAGTGTGGCTCAGGGCTAAGACCCTACACTTCTCTGGCATAACCCCCCTGCCCCCACCGCAGCTGAGATATCCCTTCAAACCTCAGCCATCGCCCATGAAAGCAGGGCCAGCTCTTTTCTCATCTCTGCCCTTCCTATCAGTCTCGATGTGGCTTCTTCTGTAAATCCTTGGTTATAGGACTTCTCTTCAGCTAGTGTTCATTTGTTTATTCAGGATGATTGTTCTGGAGTTTAGCTGTAATTCCAGTTTGGTCCTAGGTGGAGGTAAGTGTAGCTTCCACCTATTCTACCACCATCTTGGACCCCCTTTGCTTTGGCTTTCGTTTTTGGGCCTTCTCATGTCTCCTCTGCATTTGCATGCTGACTCACGATCAGCCAGGCACGTACAGAAAGCTTGGGCCCTCTCTGATCTCTCGTGCATGGACAGGTGGAGAGCTTATCAGGGCCTCCTTAATAAATTTCTTGATAGTCTGCCAATTCACTTTTTGCTGCTGTTTTTCCTTGTTCATGTGCCACTGAGTTTGCTACTGTTATTGACAATGCTGTTGGGTATAGGGTTTGTCCAAGTTCCACTCCCAATCTACCGAGCCTTCCGTCGTGTTGAAGTTGCTAGTTTTCACAGCTTGTTCCTTCGTAGTTGAACAGGTTCTCACTGTTCCTAACTCAAAGTTCTGTTGATTTTCATGAATAACTAACTACTACTCAATTTGTTGTGTACCTTTTGCCAGCTTTCAGAGTCCTGAAATGGTGCTTTTGACCATTTTATCCAGTTTTATTGTTGCTTTTTGGGAAGAGGATTTGTCAAGCTACTAAGAGGATTTGTCAAGCTACTCACTCCACCATTCTAGAAGTTCCACCTCCTAATTTTCTTTTATTGTATTGTCTTTGTCAGGTTTTGACATCAATATTATGCTGGCCTCATAAAGTGAATTGAAAATGCTATTTATTGGAAAAATTTTGTAACTGTTATTTCTTCCACAGATACATAATAGAATTCAGTAGTGCAACCATGGTGGGCCTAGAGCTTTCTCTACGAAGAGTTAAATTTCTTTAAGTTTTACAATTCAGATTTTTTAGGAATCTGTCATTTCACTTAAGTTACTGAATTTATTGGTATAAAATTTTTCGTATTATTCTGTTAATATTCTTTTAATGTCTGTAGGATTTATAGTGATATCTTCTCTTCCATTCCAGATAGTGGTAATTTAGGTTTTCTTGCCTTTTCTCGATAAGCATCACCAGAGGGCTTATTAATTATTAATCTTTTCAAAGAATCAACTCTTGCATTTGTTGTTTTCTTTTTTCTATATTTATTTTCTAGTTCATTAATTTTTGCTCTTAATTATTCCTTGCATTCTACTTCGGGTTTATTTTACTCTTCTTTCTTAGCACCTTAAAGTAGAAACTCAGCTTATTCATTTCAAAACTTTCTTCTTTTCTAAAATTGGCACTTAAAGCTATAATCTTCCTTATAAGAACTCTTTAAAGTGCATCCACAAATTTTGATATTTTGTGTTCTTGTTGTTATATAATTCAAAATTCCCTCTAATTTTTCTTGTAATTTAACATTTAGAAAGTTGTTTAATTATCAAATATCTGGGGAATTATTCTGTCTTATTGTTATTGATTTCTAATTTAATTCTTTTGTAGTCAGAGAACATACTCTGTAAGATTTAATTTTTTGAAAAATATTGAGACATTTTATGGCTCACCATAGAGTCTGTCCCTTGTGAACACTGCATGTGCACTTGGGAAGAATATGCACTCTACATTTGTTAGTTTAGCATCAGGTCTTTATATTTTTACTGATTTTTAATTGTTCTATTTTTAATTGCTGATTCACCTATTCCTCTCTTTAGTTTTATCACTTTTTCTTCATACCTTTTGAAAAGCAATTAGATGTGTACTTATTTAGAATTGTTATGTCTTCCTGGTGAACTGTGTTTGTATTGAATTGTACCTTCCCCAAATTCGTATGTTGAAGCCCTAACCTGCAATGTGACTATATTTGGAGACAGAGCTTTTATGGGGGAAATTAAGGAGGTCATAAGGGTGGGACCCTTATGTGATAGGACTAGTGTTCTTATAAGAGGAAGAGACACCAGATCTACCTGTGTGCATGACCAGGAGAAAGGTCATGTGAGGACACAGCAATTCAGGAAAAGGGGCCTCACCAGAAACTGACCTTCATGGCTTCTAACTTAGTAAATCATGCAGAAGCCAACATTATCCTAGAATTCAGTTCCCTTAAAAAAACAAGTACTCTATATACACCTATATAGCAGCAACAAATAGATTAAAAATTTAATTTTTAATATTATACCATGCCTGGTACCTGCTGAAATAAATCTTCAACAAATGTACATTACCTTTATTGATAAAATTATTAAAATTTATTAAAAGATATTTTTTAAATGGATATAAATGGAAATGTTTATATATCAAATCCATGAATAAAAATATCATAAAGTTAGCAGTCCTCCTCAAATTGACCTATGCAATTTAACAGTCAGATTCTAACATATATGAGGATTGGCCAAGACAATTATGAACAATGCAATTAGACTTCCTTACCAGATATTATGATTAAAAAACTATAATTTAATTGAAACCAGTTATATTAGCATGATTTTTAGGATAGAACAGTTTACAAAGCCCAGGAAACAGATCCTTTAATATTTTAAAACTTAATCTATAACAGAGGGAGCATAGCAGATCAGTGGGGAAAGAATGTAATAGTTCTATTGGAAATGATACCACCTTCTATTGCAAAAGCTGGAAATGTTCGTGTGCATTTTTAGTGATCACAATGACTAGGGGGTACTATAGGTGTTTAATAGGATGGGATTGTGAATACTAAATGTCTTGCTACACATGGGACATTTTTGTACAATAGCCATACCCAAAATGCCAAAAATGCTCCTGCTTAGAAATCCTGAACTAGTCAGTAAATGTTGCTCAAACAATTCATTTTTCATATAGGAAAATTAAAATTATGTTCCCGCTATATACCATATACAAAAAATGACTCCAGGTAGATTAGACCTAAATGTGAAAATTATGAAAGTATTAAAAGCCACATGCCAGGAAAAGTATTTGCAATAAAGGATGAGTGAATCAGTGATTAACTGTATTTGGTTACTACTAACAAAAACAATAACAGTGGCTTAGATAAAAGTTGATTTTTCTTTCACAAAAATATTAGTCTAGTTGTAGGCATTAAAAAGCTGATATGGGCCCAGCCGACGTGGCTCAGTTGGATGAGCGTCGCCCCATGTACCAAGAAGTCACCCGAAGTTTAATGGGTACATTTTAAGCCTTCCATTTTGTGTGGAATCAGATCCTCCCTGTCAAATGTTGTAATTAACATCACTTAAAATAAAACTTGAAAGAAACATTGAAACCTAAAAAAGAATAAAATGAAACCCCCTTATAATGTTCTATTTCAGCACCCTGTCATTTGCCTAAGAGCTCCTATCACCTTTTGTAGTTATTTTATCTGCTTTTGTCAATCTTCCTTATTAGACCACTCAATCATATAAGTCTCACTCACCACACATTCCCAAGTACAGTGTCTGGCAACAAATGTGCTCAATAAATATTTGTTGAATGAATGAATGAAGAAAAACTGAAAACCCTAGTATCAATAATAAGGAAAAACTCAATTATGATACATTAAAACAAGGATATGTTATATAACTATTCAAACTGACAGGTATGGAAGTAGTAAAAGAAAATATCTATATGAAGTAACAGTGAATGAAAAACTAGACCACAAAATAAGATGCACATATATCATACAACTATGTAAGGAAAGTATATATACATCCAAATTAAAATGAATGGAAAATAAGTAATGGTGGTAATAATAGGTTTTAACAATTAGCAGACTTTTTGTAAAGAAAGATTGCTAATGACAATATAGCATAAAGTTCGTATTGTGGAAAAGTGCTTACAAAATAATATTGAGTGAAAAATAGAGCATAATATTGTATATACACCATGATTATAGCTATACCAAGTTAAATATAGATTGAAAGATACAGAAATAAAAATACCTATTGCATCAAAGTGATAGAAATGTATAAAATTTATCTTTTAAACTTTTTTTAAGGTTGGTGGTCTTTTAAAAATAATATTTTACAATGGGAGATAGCCATAAATTAATAAATGATGAGGTACATAAGTAAATCTCAACACCAATTAATAATGACTGGATAACATTTGGGGTAAAAATCTTTAGTCCTTTTTTCTAATATATATAAGCAAAAATATACATAAAATTAAAACTATAAAAATTCTTTTTAGCCTGGCTTTTTCATTTAACAATATATAATGGCTTACTAACAAACTTTCAAAAACATTTTAAACAAAGTAACAGTGTTACATTGGTGGAGAGACACTTAGTGAACTGAGCACAGCAAAGGAGTAAGTCCAGGGCCCAGATCCACACTAATCTACAGTTATTTAAGTCAAACACTAAGTAAGCAGATCTAAAAATCAACTACTATATCTATAAAACAAAACACATACTGAGAGGGTGAATTTTGATGCTTCATTATAGAGTGTGGTAAATTTAAGTATTAAAATATAAAGAAATAATGCAGGAGAGTGAAGGAATGAAAAATACTGACAAATCCTAACTCCCAGAATTATCTCCCAAATGCTCCATCAGACTAGTAACATACAACTCACACCATATCCCCAGGAGAAGTCCGAGCTGCCTTCAGTAGAGATCCCTGTGCCTGCATAACTTGGAAAAGCAGACCTTGAATCCCCAGTGTCAGCTGATGTAAAAGGTGATTCTTGTGTGACGTCAGACTCACTATATGCAGAATTTGGAAGGAAGAGAGAAAACAGAAAAATACTTATAGTTCCTCAAGTTTCTGCAACATTAATTAGTCAGCAATTATGTGATAAGCATACATACAAACATATCCAAAGAAGCAAAAATCAATGAAGAACTTGAAACTTAAGCATCATGAAAAAGTCCTACCTAAATCCTATAGAATTGATGGTAGTCATTGTACATAATTCTAGTCACAGTTTATAATGAATACTTTTAACATTCCACCTGTAACATGTACCTTTGATAACTAAAGACATTTCAGAAATACTGGTAATATCTGAACTTGTATGGTGCTTTAACAGTTTACCAAGCACTTTTACAAATATTAATCCCCTTTTGTCCTCACAACCTGGTGATACAGAACTCAGCGCCATTTTAAAGACAATGAATCTGAAATTTAGTTCTAGGTTTTGAAACTAAGTTTTATTACTATAATTTTTCCTATGATACCACACTGCTTCTCAGAACCCTCTTCGAAGTTATAGTCTCCTCTGTTCTATTTCTTAAAATAATACATGCTGCTAATATTACTCAGCATTTACTGAGCATTGTGCCAAGTTTTGCATACTTTATCTTTAAGACATACTATTATCAGGTAAGTAATCTGCAATTTTATTCTGCTAATAAATGACAGAATCAGGATTTAAGAATCAGATCTGTTGGACTCCTTCTGAGTCTATGCTTTTAATTACTTTATAACACTACTTTTCAAAGGTTGTGAAAAGAAGTATGATTGTTTTTTCCATTAGCTGTTCCAGACTGAAGATAAATGGTAATAAAATGTGGTAAGTTTGTTTTGTTTCATTAGTACAAGGCTTGATACCAATCCTAAGCTAAAAAACAAGACCTTGGCCATTATCAAATATCAAAGCAAACAAATGTACTTTGTGTTATCACCTTTGGGAACTTGTGTCTTTTTCATGGCTATCACAGGCAGAAGTTGTTTCATCCAGCTGCTCCGGAAGGGGATGATGATTGAGAGCATATTTTGTTATTCCTTTCCTGTGAAAGATAAAGTTATATTTCCTATAAACAAAACATATACTTTTCAGAAACTTAGTCTAGAAGTTAGTCACCTACTTCTTGCTGCTCTGGACTGCATTGTGTAATACATTAGCCACTAGCAGTTAAAATGTGGTTAGTGAGAAACCAGATGCACAGATGCATTTTAAGTGTAAAACACACAGGATTTTGAACTCCTAGTAAAGGAATGGATATTATCTCACTAATTATTTTATCTTGATTATATGTTAAAGTGTTAGTGTTTTGGATATATTGAGTTAAACAAAATATATTCTTAAAATTAATTTCACTGTAAAATTAAAATATAATAAGGTATAACAATTCAACTATTAGAACAGCTAAAATATAGCGATAACACAGGCGAAGATATGGAGAAACTGGATGTCTCATATATTGCTGGTGGGAATATAAAATGGTACAGCACTCTGGAATAATTTCAGTTTCTTATAAAACTAAACACATGCATCTACCATAAGACGTGACCATTGCATTCTTGGGCATTAACCCTAGAGAAATGAACACTTACGTTCACACAAAAATATGTATACAAATGTTCACAGCAGCTTTATTTAGAATTTTAATAAAACTGGAAACAACTGAAATGTCTTTTGAGGGGTGAAGGGTTAAACTCTGGTATATCCACACAATGGAATATAATCCAGAAAAGGGGAAAAAAAGGAGTGAACTGCTGAGACATGAAACAACTTGGATGGATTTCAAGGGTATCATGCTTAGTGAAAAAAGCCAATCTCAAAACATACATGTAGTATATAATTATATGATTCCATTTATACAACATTCACAAATTACAAACTATAGAGGTAGAGAAAAGATTAGTGGTTATCAGGAGATGGAGAAAGGAGTGCACAAGACTGAAAGGGGTACACAAGACTGTTCCTTGATGGTGATGAAATACTTCTCTAAATTGATTTTACTGGTGGTTACAAAAATTTGTATATGAGACCAAATTGCATAGAACTATGTACACACACACACAAAGAAGTGGATATAAAACTGGTGAAAAGTGAATTAAGGTCTATAGTTAACAGTATTGTACCAATGTCAGTTTCCTGGCTTTGAAATTATATGATAGTTACATAACATGTCATCATTGGGTGAAGCTGGGTAAAGGGTTCATGGGACTCTGCACTATTTTTGTAACTTCCTGTGAGTCTATAATTATTTCAAAATAAAAAGGTAAAAATATTAATTTCACCTGTTTATATTTTTTTAATGATACCTAAATTTAAAATTACATATGTGCCTTGTATTATATTCCTATTAGAGAGTGCTGCTGTAGAGTTCAATGTGTGCATGAGAATAAACTATGGAGTTAATTATTACATATTTCAGTCCTAATCATCTACAGTAGACTTTCGTTCCCCACAAAATTCTGTAGTCAAATAAATTTAGGAAACACATGTTTCTTTACAAGAGGTCTTCCCAGGGCCTTTTATATGCAAATGTTATCATAAATCTCTAATATTCTTATTTCACAGGAAAGGAAACTGAGGCACAAAAGGATTAAATAACCTGCTTAAGGTCTTAGAGGCAGTAAGTGATGGAGCCAGGATTCAAATCCAAGTAGTCTGGTTCTGAGACTTCTCAGAGCAAATGAATAGTTTGAGATATCAGTGAACTTGTACCATTTTTTGTATACAAATATAAAGTTAGGGGCCCAGTCAGTGGAGCTTGTACTTTCAATTATTTCTTAAATGGTGGGAGTGGACTTATGCATAGCTATTTGTACTTCTCTCATGCACTGCTCCTACAACCAAAAGCTTGTCTTTGAGACAGTGGTAGGGATCAGAAATGTGGATTCGAGCTACGAAATAAAAACTTAAGACATTTTTCAGTCTGTCAGAGAAAGTGGATTATGGAGTGACAATTAGGTAATACCAAAGAAATATTAAAGTTGATAACAGCATTGTGGTTACATAGAAAATGTCTCCCATTTTTTTTGGTTTGGTTTTGTTAATCCTCACCCCAGGATATTTTTTCCATTGAGTTTTAGAGAGAGTGGAAGGGAGGGAGGGAGGAGAGAGAAAAAAAAAAAAACATTGATGGAGAGAGACACATCGAACATGCCCAGACTGTTCCCTGGGATGGAGCCTGCAACCCTAGGTACATGCCCTTGACTGGGCATCAAACCCGCCACCCTTTGGTGCGCAGGTATGTGCTCTAACCATGGAGCAACACTGGCCATGGTGAAAATGTCTATAATTTTTAATGATGCATACTGATTCGCCTGGCTGGGCAGCTCTTTGGTTAGAGCATTGTCCCCAAATGCCAAGGCTGTGGGTTGGATCCCCGGTCAGGGCACATACAAGAATCAACCGATAAATGTATCCCTTCTCTCTCTCTCTCTCTCTCTCTCTCTCAAATAAATAAATAAAATAAAAATTTAAAGATGCATACTGAAGTATATAAGGGTAAAATGATAGTGTCAGGGGATTTGTTTCCTTCTTTCACTGATGAGGAACAAAGAAAATATAGATGAAGCAAATATATTAAAATGTTGATAACTGTTTAATGTGGGTGATTGGTGTCTCATTATATTTACTATGTATTTGTGTTTGAAATTTAGCATTAAAAAACATTAAAGCTGTATGTTGAAAATCACTCTTTTCCCATACTCTTTTCAAAATCTATAATTTGGAAGTGTTAGGGGAAAAAACTAAAGTTACTGCTTCAAAGCAAATAATCATTGTAACACCTAAAGTAAATTGCTTTTAATTCATGGTCATTGAGATGCATATAATCCTCAATATCTTCATTATTCACATCACCCTGACTCCTCTAAAGAACCATCTTTTGGGAGAGTTCTATTTAGGGATCAAATTAACAATAGAGAACAAGTAACATAACTATACGGGGTCAGTAATTCTGGCCCAGTAAGTGCCTAGCAACACTTTTTTCCATAAAAGATAATTTTTACTTTCCAAATGATCAGATTTTTTTAAAAAGCATATTTTTAGCTAAGCCCTATTTGCTTTATTAGGAAATTACTTTCTTCCTCCTAGTTTCTAAAAAGCTTATTATCTGAATTGCTACTGTGTAGATATCCTACTACTTTGTAGATAGTAAGCTTCTTAAAGGCAAGGAGAAATCACAGACTGATTTTCTTTGTATGGCCAATGTACCAATTAAAGGTGGGAAGGAACAAGGAGATTACCATTTTCTGAGCACCATCTATGTGTCAAGCTCTGTGCCATCACTTTAGATATGCTTTTAGATAAGGTCTTATTCCTATGTTACAGAAGGGGGGGGGGGAGGTTGGAGTTTAAAAACCCAAGCTCAAAACCTACTGGTTATATAATCTTAAGATGTGTAACCTGTTTGATAGAGCATCTTCTGAAAAACTGGAGATAATGATACCCATCTTACTGAGCTGTTACAAGGATCAAGATGCGAAAGTCTTCATTAATAAACGTGTGACATTACTAAATTACACTAGGGGGTGGGAAGTGAGTCTTTTAGCTAGAAATATTTGCTCTCTCAAGTCTCAAAGCAAAACTGGTCCTTATGGATTCTGATGCTTAATTGTAGAGATGGGAGAGGAAGTATGTGTAATGGTTTTGACCACAGGCTTCAGAATCAGATTGACAGCAGGTTTGTACTTCAGCGCCACCACTTTCTGGCTGAGAAATTTTTGGCATGCTACAATCTTTAAATATGGGATCTTTATATGTTGAATGGAAAATTACAGTTCCCATCTGCTATCCTTGTTGGATAGGATTAAGTGGGCTAATACGTGTAAGCAGCTTTGCACGGTGCCTGGCACTAGATAGATTCAACCTTATTCAACACTCAGCAATTAAGAGCTTCTTAAGACGTCAGTGGCCATGACAGCGGGGCATGAAGCACTGCGGAAACTTCCAAAGCCTTAGAAGACCTGAGTTCTTGGAAGTGCCGCCCAAGAGGGCTAAGCCCTGGGACGGCACAGGCGACACGCCCTTAGCTGGAGAGGTAGGAAGAAAGGACCAAGTCCGGCAAGGCTGGAAGGAGAGAATTCCAAGAACATTTTGTTTTTCCAGCCCGGGAAAGGAAAGGAGCGAGGGAGTGGTCTGGAAGGTCCCCAGAGCGCCCGCGCCCCACCTCGCCTCCCCGGGCCGCGGCTGGGATGGTTGAGCAGTCCACTCACAGCTCCAAGCTCTGCGGCACCGCCTTCCGAGTGTATCTGGAGATCATCCTCCTCTTCCTCCTCAATCGCGGCCTGGGCGGGCACGCCAGGGTGGGGGCCTCCAGGCCTGGCCCTCCGGCCGGCTCCTGCTCGGCCCCCTCCCGCCACCTCCCAGCCCCGTCACGCCCCGTTGCCCAGACTCCTGACGGCCGGTTCCCCACCTCTCCAGTCCTCCGCCCTCCCTACTTCCCCGTGGGGGCGGAAGTGACGAAGGCATCGGGGCACCGGCCTAATGCTCCCGCGGAAGCACAGCAACGACCACGCCGGAGGTTCCGGCGCTGAGCGGGTTTCTGACTTTCAGAGCTTCCCGGGCCGCCGGTTCCGGACTGACGTCTGGGCCGAGTCTAGGGCCAAGCTTTGGCCGCTGCTCGCGGTTCCCGACAGGCTCACGCGGCGGGCGGGGCGGCTGCGGAAAGGCGCCGCCGCAGAGGCGTGCCGGAGAGGCCCGAGAACCGTAGGAGGAATGGGCTTCATTTCCTCAGACTGAAGAAGGGAGCTTATCTGAGGGAAGAGCCCGGGACCGCGAGCCAGGCCGCCGCCGCGCGGTCGCTTCTCTTCCTGTGCTTCCGGTTGACTCGTCTGGACGGTGAGGAGTTAGCTCGAGTGACCTCAAAGTCCCTTTTAGTTCGGACTCTGAGCTCTTCACAGTAAGGAGTGCCTA